CCCTCAAGTCGGCTAAACAACCTTTTTTGGAAGTCAGTCAATGAGATCCTGGATCTCGGATCTCGGCAATTACCTCGGCCTGAACTTTACCAGGTCGGGCAGCGTAGCGAAAAACAAAAACACAAACAAGAAAGAGAGAAAGAGAACACAAACAGTTTTTAACGTGGAAAAACTTTCTTCAATGAAAAAGTAAAAACCCACGAGACCTAGTCCAGATCAAACGTCCACTATGAAAATAATGGATGCAAAGAATCAAAATACACCAATGTGGTGGTTAACACAACCTCTCCAACAATGGAGATAATAAAACTACCTAGAGATGTTTCACTCAAACTCTCTCTAGAGATCTCTCAAATACAAAGCTTAAAGCTTTGCTCACAAATCTCTCAAATAATTTCTCAAATCTCTAACCTAACCTCCATCCACAACTAATGAATATATAGAGGAGGTGAGATCTAGGGTTTAAGGTTTAGAGTTTTTAGGAAACCCCTCAATGGGCTTGGGCTTTGCATTGAAGGAGGAAGACGAACAAGAAGTTGTAAACGACAATAGATTGTAAGTATTAGCTTCCTCTTCATTAAATTAACTTTTTTTAATAATATTTAACTATCTAAATGATTTGGATATATTTATCAATGTAAAATACTATTAAAGTACCAATAAAGCTCAGCACAATTGATAGATAGTTGGATATTTTAAGCATCTTGATAGGGGTTCGATTCCTTACCGTACATATGAAAAAACCTTGTTGGTAGAAGTAAAATCTACTTCGATGATCTCTATACCTCGAAAGGATTAATCTTCGGCTGTCGGTTGAAGATACCTTAAGGAAACTCAAAAAAAATAATACTATTAAAGTTCGTGTACGAAGAAATTAAATTTAATAAGTTGTCTAGATTATAATGTTAATAGTAATAAAAAAAATGTATGCAAAAATACAATTGAAAATATTCTTACGATGACCTCCATTTGCTCCAAAATTGGACTAGCAATACTCATTTTCATCCTCCATGAAATATCTTTTTAAGCCTTTTGCGCCATTTTAGTAACTAAGTTGTAGATATAAAATACTATAAATTTTTTAGAAAAAAGATTAAAAAATTACGTCAGGAAAAGAAAATAAAGAGAATAAAAAATGCATTGAACTAAAATAAAAAAAAGTTGAAACCGTAAATGAAATAATTCAACGTAAATAAATGAAAAATACCAAAGAAAACTATTCTGTGAATCCTTTTGTAATTTGGAATTAAATCTTTTTATTTGAATTCAAATATTATTATATACAATCAATTCTATATATGAAAAATAAACTATTAATTATTAGATGTAATCAGTTAATGAATGAATTAAAAGGAATCAAATAAAATAAGGTAAAGGACAAATTAACGTACCGTTAACTCAAAAACAGTTGGTTAGCCATCCTTTTCTTGTAAAGGACAAATAAATGTACCATTAACTTTATAATATTAGGACAGCCATCTTTTTCTGTCCTCTAGAAGGACATATTCTTTAATTTCGCTTGGTACAATTTGATTCTTTTAATTTCTAAAGTTGTTTGCTTGCATATTTACGTTTTAAACTGAAATTTTTTAGGAAACACAATTCTCTGAATCCAGTAAGTGTCAAAGATATTATGTTTTTAGGATCAAAAATAAATTAAATAATAATGAATATGATCAAGAATATAGTAATAATTAATAAATGCAAAAGATTATAAGATTTTAATGTTTAGACATGATATTGACTTAAAAATATATTGGTTTAAGGTTCAAATTGTTAAATAAGAGCATTGGAGCGAGGTGGAAGCTAAAAGGAATTAAAGTAATAAATGTGGAGCAATGATTTAGTGAAAATATTCTCAAAGTTGTCTTTCGGTAATTTTTCACATCGAATATGATGGATTTTGATCTCGTATTCTTCATAGAAATTGTTGATCTTTCTCTTACTTTTCCAACGAGACCAAGATCTCATCAATTGAACGAGTATATCTCACGTTATGGCCAAAATACGAAACCATATTTTTGTTGCCAAAATAGCGCGTTGCGACCCAACTAAGGCCCATTATGAGATTTTCACCCAAGTTAGGGTTCCTACATATATTTAATCTAATCTTAAGAGGAAACTCATAATTTTATTTGTAGCCAGAGGCCTTGGAAGAGGCCGAGGAGCAGCTCTATGGAGGAGAAGGAGGAGGAATCGCTCAAAGCTTCTCCATGGAGACTGGGTACTAAGTTTCTTTTATAGATTCTAGTTTCTTTTCATCTACTGTTCTTGTTTTCTTAAATATGTTAGGCTAATTTCTTTTATGTAGTTAGGATGAGATATAACCAATGGATTCTTAAACATTGTTTATACTTTCTTGTAATAGATATTTATGATTTGAATTATGTAATTAATCTGTTCACTGATGATTGATTTTGTTTATGACTTGTGCACTCATAGATAAACACATAGAGTCTTGTATGTCAATAGGGATATTGATATCTTGATTCCGATTGATTAATTGCTAGGATTTGTATAATCTATGCATAGACTTATAAATTCTATGGCGTGTGAGCTTCTTGATCTTAATGCTTGCTCTAGGAAAAGGCTTTAAAGGATTATGGATTTGGATAAAGTAAAGGATTAAATCATCAAGGGATTGGGGGATTTAATTAGTTTAGAAAGAATTGCCAATAATTTAATCTTGAATATTGATTGCATGAAAGGGTAATCTTGTTAGGAAAATATTGGGGAAATCGAATCCCTAGCTACGCTTGTTTTTAAGTAATTTCAACCGTTCTTTCTTGCACTCTTGCATTCTTGATCATCATTCTTAGTTTTCAATCTTAAAAATCAAAAATATTATTTTTAAATTTCTATTTTTAATTAATTCAAAATCACATTCTCAAAAACTTTCAAGATCGATCCAACTTTGGTTATATAAATAAGTTATTGCTTGATAAATCAAACCTCGTGGGAACAACAACCCCACTCATTTTTACTATACTACTTGTACGATCAGTGCACTTACCGAAGTCGCAATAAGTTTTTGGCCCCGTTGCCGGGGATTAGATCAAATTTTTTTTATCAACATTAACCACGTCTATTAAATCATAGATCAGATCAATTATTATTATTATTTTGTTTTACTTTTATTTTTATTAGTTTATTTTTTTTATTATTTTATTTTTATTTATTTTTGCTTTTGTTTATTTTTTATTTATTTTTATTATTTTGTTTTCTGTTATTTTAGTGGTTTCCATTAGTTGGACCACTTAACCTTAGTTTATCTGATTTATGCATTTGCAAGGTACTATTGGCCCTAGTGATTTACAGTACGAACCAGAGTTAGGAAGATTAGAAAGAACCAATAGAAAGCGTACTTTCGCAAAGAAGGTATTAGAAGCATCGAGTTTTAGTCTTGCTGAAGAGCCAGTCATGGCCGAGAATAATCAAAATCCATCAAATCCTCTGGATGAGCTGATCGGGCAATACTTGAATCCAAATTTCTCATATCATGTTGCAAGTATTATGAGAACACACATTTCGGTCAACACTTTTGAGATCAAGGCTTTCTTCTTGAACTTGATTCAGCATAAACAATTTGAGGGAAGCCCAACTGAAGATCCAAATCAACACATCGCGTATTTCTTGCAGATGTGCAATATGATAAAGGCAAATGGAGTACCTTTAGAGGCAATTCACCTGACATTATTTCCTTTTTCTTCGAAAAGACAAGAAAAAAGCTGGTTAGAGCTGCAACCTTCGGACAATATCACCACTTGGGAAGATCTTGTAGTCAAATTTCAGAAGAATTTCTTCCCATTATCTAGAATCTTCGAGCTTAAGGAACAGATTGACAACTTCAAACAACTCGAAGGAGAATCTCTAAGTATCAATTGTGGAAGATTCAAGGGACTCATAAGGAGATGCCCACAATACGTGCTTTCAAACGGTGAAAAGGTTCGCATTTTTACAAAAGGGATTTCAGCGACCTATAGGATATTACTCAATGATGTAGCTGGAGGAAGTCTGTCAGAAATCACAACCACCAGAGCTTTAGAATTAATTGAGAAGATGGCAGTTGAGGACACTAAGGTCACACCAGCACAACCCAAGAGAGGAATCATGCAGCTAGAGGGATACAATGCCATGTTAGCGAAGCAAGATAAGATGGATCAAAGGCTAGAGCCGCTTGTGAAGCTCTTTACTCGGACTCAGATTTCTGCAGTTAATACCCAGTTCCCTGTAGTTTGCGACACTTGCGGCGGACCACATAGTGCTGATAATTGTGATGCTACAGTTACAGTGGATCCTGCCCAAGTCAATGGAATTTGGAACAACCAGCGTAGGGAGAATAATCCTTACAACAACACTTACAATCTTGCTGGAGGAATCATCTCGCGCTCTCACATAATTAAGGGGCACCACAACAAGCTAATTTGGCATTTCAGCCAGTGCAACCCAGTCAGCCAGCAGCTTGGGAAATAGCATTTGAAAAGATGACTCAATCCCAAGCAAGTTTCATGGATGAGAAAGAATCAAGAGGCTTCCATAAAGAATTTGGAGAATCAAATTGGTTAGCTTGCTAGGCAATTAGCCGAAAGGGCTCCAGGCACTTTTCCTAGCGATACGATTGGTAATCCCAGAGAGCACAGTAACACCATCACTACAAGAAGTGGGATATTAATCCATCCTATGGAGAAGCCTGTAGTTGCATCAAGTAATGGCGGTAAAGCTGAGGAGGAGAAGCCTACTGAAGAAAAAGAGGAAGAACTTGTTGATGATGATGTCATCATTATTGGTAGAGAATTAAATGAGAAAGTTGACACCTCTTGGAGGAGAGTGAAGAAATCTTGTTTAGAGGAAAGGAAGAAATCACTTGAAGACAATCCTTATGTTAAGGCTCCATATCCTCAGAGGTTAAAGCAGAAGGCACAAAAGCAGCAATATTCCAAATTTTTGGAAATAATCAAGAAGTTGCAAATTATATCCCTTTTGCGGAGGCTTTAGAGCAAATGCCTTCGTACGCTAAATTTCTTAAAAAGATTCTAACCAAGAAGCAGAAGCTTATAGTAGAAGAATCCACTATCTTGACAGAGAAGTATAATGCAATTATGCAGAAGAATTTGCCTCCGAAAATAAAGGATCTAAGGAGTTTCAGTATCCCTTGTATGATTGGATCAACGAAAATAGAGAGGGTCTTATGTGATCTTGGCGCTAACATCAATGTAATGCCATTATCTATGATGAAGAAGCTGGAAATCACAGGGGTGAAGCCCATCAGGATGATCCTGCAACTAGCTGACCGTTCCACCAAGCACACCTATGAATTAATAGAGGACATACTTGTTAAGGTGGACAAGTTCATCATTCCGAGGGACTTTGTTATCTTGGACATAGAGGAGGATACATTGTTCCCATGATCTTCGGGAGACCTTTCTTAGCGACATCCGGAGCACTGATTGATATGCCTAAGAGAGAATTGATCCTAAGGGTGGAAGGAGAAAGTGATGTTCTCAAAGTGTTTGAAAAAAAGACTCCACCACCTATAACTCAGTCAGAGAAAATTTTCATTATTAATGAGAAGAAGACTGAGAAGAAAGACAAGAAAGATCTTGAGCCAGATGAGAGCTGCAAGCCGAAGGTGAAGATGGCAAAGCGTAAGAGCAAGGGAAAACATATCAAGACTAAGTTTAGAGTTCTTGAGGTTGCTCCTTCGCGCCCATTTGCAAGTGAGTACTACTATGGCAAGACACAATTTATGAGAAAATGGATGGCATCATCACTGAGCTCCAACTATAAGCAACCATGACCGCAAAGCTGACACGTTAAGCTAATGATATTAAACAAGCGCTTGTTGGGAGGCAACCTAACATATTTATGCTTTTATTTCGTTTTGCTGAATTTAGTTTTTGTTATATTTTCTTTAGTTTTAATTTCTAATCTCCATGGTGATGTATCTGATAGTTTTCTGATTTTACTTATTATTATTGTTATTGTGTGCTCCTTGTTTATGATGCGCAATGATTGCAGAGGACAACAAAATTTTAAACTGGGAATGAGGAGCACCGCCATATATAGTAACAGTTAGATTCCCATTTTGTGTGCAGTTGCAAAATTTTTCAGGGAATTTTCTTTTCATTTTTCTCCTATTTTTCTCTTAAATTTTTCTTTTCCTATCTTGGATTAATTTATTGATTTACTGAATAATAGGGAGTTATTCAGTAAAATTAATTCATAATGTGATGACTTACACCATGTTTTATATGGACGAGCACTAATTAAGTAAGCCTAAGAGTTAGCAGAATTAGTAAGATTACAGTATGAGTGATTTAAAGAGAATATAGTTAATTGAATTGCACACTCATAACCTGTAAGATTTTTGAGCCTAAACAGAAATTTTTTCTTTTCAATGTGCCCTTCAGGGTTGAAAATATTCTAGAACTTATTTTGTTTCTCCTTGAGATGGTTGATAATATGTACTGTTGAAATGATTGAGGGTTTTTATTTTATTTTTTTGTTTTAGCTACTTGGCCTGATAGCCACCCATTCTAATATCCTTTGTTTAGCCCTTTGAGCTTAAGCTTTGTCTTTTCTTAATAACCTGTTGTTTTAATTAGCCACTCCACATACACATCTACCTTATATAGGATTGGATTTTAGAATTTTCATGGTAGAGTGTAAGCATGAGCATTATGTCTTATGTTGCTTATTGGTGAAAAGGAGGTTATGTGAGTTAAGCAAAAACATAGGTTGGAAAATGGTGAGGAAAAATAAAAATATTTAATTAGTGTTGCCTTTTCAAATTCTACGCAAATAAAAGTGTTGAAAAAAAAAGAAAAAGAAAACGAAAAATAAGAGTATTGGGGTTGAAATAGAAAGATATAGAAAAATAAAAATGCTGAAAAAGAAAAGAAGGAAAAAAGGAGAAAAAAAAGATTACACGTTAAAATTGTTTACACTTATACCATGATCCTTTAGTGTTCTAATTCTTTAGCCACGTTTCCCCTGATTATCCTACCTTTAGCCACGCCCCATTATAACCCAAATAAAGGCCTCTTGATCATTTATGCATGTTATTTACTGTGGAGAATGAAAATATTACCAAGCTTACGGTAGTATTAATTCAGTGAAGACTCGAGTGAAACACTTACCCTTTAGACACTTAAGTGATGAGTGAAATTATTAATTCCAGTGATGGGTGTGTTTAAGTTCAGTTGCTATGTTTGATCAATAGATCTCCTACTGTGATTTTATGACCTGTCTGATTTCTGAAACTACTTAATTGGATGCTTTTTCTTAAGACTCTGTTGTTATTAAATAAGTCTGACTATTTATGGATTGATTTGTTGTCTGATTCTTATATTGTTGATTCATTGAGTACAAACTATACTTTTGTACTTTTTCCTATGTTTTAAATTAGTCCATTGCTGAGGATATCAATGAGTAAATCTGGAAATGATTTGATAAGTGTCAAAAACACTTTGTTTCTAGGATAAAAAATAGATTAAATAATGATTAATATGATCAAGTAATTAATGAATGCAAAAGATTATAGGATTTTAATGATTGGACACGATATTGACTTAAAAACATATTGGTTTCAAGTTTAAATTTTTAAATCAGAGCATTGAAGCCAAGTGGAAGCTAGAAAAAATTAAAGCAATAAATGTGGGGCAATGGTTTAGTGAAAATATTCTTGAAGTTGTCTTTCAGCTAATTTTCACATCGAATATGATGGATTTTGATCTCGTGTTCTTCATAGAAGTTGTCGATCTTTCTCTTATCTCTCCAACAGACCAAGATCACATCAATTGGACGAGTATAACTCACATTATGGCCAAAATAAGAAACCATATTTTTGCTGCCAGAATAGCGCGATTTAACGCGCTTCAGCCCAGTTGCGACCCAACTAAGGCTTATTACGAGATTTTCACCCAAGTTAGGGTTCCTACACATATTTAATCTAATTTTTAGAGGAAATTCATAATTCTATCTGCGGCTAGAGACCTTGGAAGAGGCAGAGGAGTAGCTCTTTGCAGGAGAATGAGGAGGAAACGTTCAAAGCTTTACTGTGGTGACCGGGTTCTAAGTTTCTTATATGGATTCTAGTTTCTTTTCATCTACTGTTCTTGTGTCCTTGAACATGTTAGGCTAATTTCTTTTATGTAGTTAAGTGAGATGGAACCAATGAGATCTTGAACACTGTTTATACTTTCTTGTAATTGATATTTATGATTTGAATTATGCAATTAATCTGTTCACTGATGATTGGTTTTGTTTATGACTTGTGCACTCAAAGATAAACACATAGAGTCTTGTATGTCAATAGGGGTATTGGTATCTTGATTCCGATTGATCAAGTGCTAGTATTTGTATTGTCTATGCATAGACTTATAAATTATATGACGTGTGAGATTCTTGATCTTAATGCTTGCTCTATAAAAAGGCTCTAAGGGGCTAGAGCTTTGGATAAAGTAAATGATTAAATCACCAAAGGATTGGAGGATTTAATTAGTTTAGAAAGAATTGCCGATAATTTAATCTTGAATATTGATTGCATGAAAGGGTAAACTTATTAGGAAAACATTGGATAAAGTAAACTTGGACCCCTTGCTATGCTTGTTTTTAAGTAATTTCAACCGTTCTTTCTTGCATTCTTTCGTTCTTGATCATCGTTCTTAGTTTTCAATCTTGAAAATAAAAAAATGTTGTTTTTAAATATCTATTTTTAATTAATTCAAAATCACATTCTTAAAAACTTTCAAGATTGATCCAACTTTGGTTATATAAATTAGTTATTGCTTGATAAATCAATTCTCGTGAAAATGACAACCCCACTAATTTTCACTATATTATTACTTGTACAGCCGATTCACTTGTCGAAGTCACAACAAAACCTAAACTTCACCAAGGACAAAACAATAGCACCACTTTTTCTGTCAAGATTTAGGGTGAAAAAAGAAGCATGTACAATCTCAATATCAAAACTGGTATTGAATTATTGTTTTACAACACTATATACTTAAAATAACTATATATTTTTTAATTTATTTCAAAATAAATATAAAAATTAAGTAAAAATAAAAAACCTATGTTGGATTTCATAAAATAAGAAAGAAAAATAAAGGAGTTATTAAGGTATGAAGTGTGAACCATCATTTATAAAGCAATTTATTTTTAAAATACAAAAATAATAAAAAGGATAAATAATTATTCAGCGAAGACTCGAAAAATCTAAAATACAACCAATGTAGGTGCAATCGACTAATAAAAGCATGCCATGTCAGTTGCTTTCATACTAAAGATATTTTTTTTTTATAATTTATGTTATGTACTATCAATAATATATGGGACATGATTCGTTTTCAAATTTTTTTGAAATTTTTTACGAATGACACTATATTCTCTCGGAAAAACATAATGTAGTTTGTAAAAGTTTGTATTCTCTCGGAAGAATATAGTGTAGTTTGTAAAAATTTGAAAACAAAAAAATTTGTAAATATAACCTGCTTCCTAATATATAGTATAAATTATAAAAATCACACTCAATTCAGTACCATTATAATTTTGAAAATGCGCTCTAGAAGACCACGTCCACACACTGCACCAAAAAAATATTGAGGATGATGTATGGATGAGGGCATAATTATTCGGCCAAAGAAATGTGCATTACCCACATTACCCCTTACATATTAATTAGAAATAGGTACATGCTCTTGACCAAATCAAATTGCCATTGATTTATATTAAATAGGCATGCTGTGGTGGAGCCACTTAAGGGCTGGGTAGTGTTAGGCGCAGGTTAAATTTTCATAAATTTTATTTTTATATATAATTATATAATTAATTATAATTTAATTAGAATTAAAATTATAATTTATCTCTGGTTAAAATTATAATTTGGCCTATCTAAAAATTAAAATATATAAGCCATTAAAATTTCTCAGGGATTTAAATATATCATATTAGATTACATGTGCAACTCTTATTTATATAAAAAAATAATTTAAAATATATTTAATAAAATTAAAAAATATGTAATAAAAATATTTAATAAAATTACAATTCTCTCGATTTAGGTTTCTTGTTCCGCTATTGTCTCTTGCCCTATTATAAGGTCAAACTCTCTCCATAAATATCAATATCTGCAAGTTCCATGTTGGAGTGTTGTTGAGCTTTGCCTAATTAGTATTTTTCCTTTTTTATATCTTAGACATTTTTTAACTTCGGCTTTTCCACATTTTCTTCTTCTTTTTTCTCCTTCCAATTTACAATTATAAGGCTCTCTTAGTTTGTGAGATGGACATGGACCAAGACTTTCATGAGGACCCTATTTGGCGATCATGACGATGTGCTCTGGTTTGTCTCTCATATTTGTTTTGTTAAAACTGTTTACAACTTTACATTTTTAGCTATCGAA